TATTCTGTCACTGATGTATTTCAATACTTATCTAACAACTTGAAGGGGTTCATAATCAATAAATTTTTCTTCAATGATCAGGAATGCCTAATACTTACTCATGAGAAGCTGTTCCATCATCCTCCACTGGGACCACGTGTATAGGGTGTGGGTAGTTATGAAAACCACACCTATCACTCCACATGTTTCATAAATTCATTCCTATTCTTCTAATAATCTTCAGCATCAGACATTGTGCCTCGGGACTCACGTGACTTAGTTCTACGCGGTGATATTTCAGCTACTATAGGGCGGTTAGACACTCTCCCTAACTAATTATCTACTCTTGTTATCATGAACTGTCATATTTACCTGTATAAACTATTATAATAACAGTCTCCATGATTACAATAGCCTCCGAAATAAAATATTTCCCTTCCAATGGCAGCAGCTGCATAGCCCCTAACACCCAGTGGAGGGTTACCAGTGGTGGGTTTCTGCTCCCACCTACCAGTCCTTAGGTGACACACCTCCATCACAGAACACATTGATTTCTTCTCTTCATTATTATGTACTGTAGGGAGATCAGGCTGGCCCCCACCCCACATATACAGGTAGTCTCCTACCCGTACAGTGGAATGTTTATCCCTCTTCCCTGGTTGATAGTCTGTAGATAACAAGAGGTAACAGTAACTGAATGATACACTAATAGTAACAACACACGAGTCATAATCAAGTATAAACAAAATACTGACCTGGTGCTTTGGCTGTCATCATAGATAATTATTTTCATTTGCTCTAATATCTATGCTGTCATTTTGTTTGGAGGTAAACGCCCTTCTATGACGTCATTAAGAAAAATTAATTGCAAGAATGTATTTTTTAGCACAGCAAATTCAAATTTGTGATTATAAAAAAGCTAAAATGATTGATCATAAAAAATAAATTGAGAAAGATTGTCGTGAAAAACATAGTCACTGATTACAATGAATAATTAATGAATAATAATAATAACTGAAAGGTTATACATGGTATAGAGCCATTGATTGAAAAATACAAATAAATTTTTAAAAATCAGCTTTTCTCAGACTGAGTGTTCTTGAGTATGTCACAGAGTTGAGTGTGTCCACATGACTTAGCAATATCAAGAGCAGTTTGATTGTCATTGTCCTTCAGTTGTGTATTGCATGAAGGATGAGAGAGGAGGAGTTGAGATATGGTGGTGTAACCTTTCTCACATGCAAACATTAGTGAAGTGGACCCATCCTATACAACAATTAATACAAGAATAAGAATCAAAAATAGATAATCAATACATGCATATTTTGTATACTTAGTAAAAAGTGCATCCAAGAGTTGATTCATGCAGTTATCATAGTTATTGCAATAAGGTGTGTGTAGTAGTATAGTACTATGATTCTGTGAGGACCAGACTACTATAATCTCAATTCACTACTGATAAGACCATCATAAAAATGAACAAATAAGGCAGTGCTTTGTTTTGAATTTTGTCATAAATGCATCTTGCTGGTGCATGCATTTTTCATTTTGTACATGCATGACATGCATCAATGATAGTTGTAATATTAGCAAGTCTAATTGCAAATTGTGAAACTATATTAAGAGTATTATTGTCCCACTTACTTTATCTTGTGCATTAATATCAGCCCCAGCTTCTAACAGCAGTGTAACTAGACCCAATGAGCCACTGGAGACTGACAGCATCAGTGCAGTCTGAAGCTCCTTCAAATAATAACAATATTAATATAATATGTAATGATATGAGAGAGTTAAAGTCATAGATGACGAATAGTTCATTTTAGATCTTATCTTTATATCAGTTTTGCCCAACAGTTTCTGTATGACTGGTTTGTCATTAGTCATTACGACATTCAACATTATGAACTGCAGCCTATATAGTCTTGCAAGCCAGACCATTCCCCAGCCTACAGTAATGACTGTAGACTGGGGAATGGTCTGGCTTACGAGACTACACATAAGAGCAGTAGAGCACACATTGCAGCCGAAGACAACATTCTGCCACGTGACTGTGCACATGCGCAGTTTAAAATTGACAAAAAATTTTTTAAAATTAAAACTAAAAAATTTTAAGTGTCAAACTATAGTAGCTACAAAAATTATTTCTGTATCTAAAGAAAGCCAAAAGTATAAAACAAAGTTTACTATCTACCTCACTCAATTTTTTCTTTTATTTCATTTATAATGTCAGACATTGTTGGACGCTGTTTGTAGTTCTCTATCAGACAACGTTCAATGAGATTCTTCAATGCCGGCCTCTTGATAGCTTTAATCTGAGCCACTCTCTTTCCTACGTCTGGAAACTCACAAACGACCATCTCTATAAGGAGGACACCATAACTGAAGACATCCATTGCAGGAGAATGTTCCCTTGGATTGCCTGCTTCAGGTGCTGAATAGACAGGATTACCAGGAGAGCATGTGCTGGTAAGTGGCTGGAGACTAACTGTACCATAGTCTGATACTTTAGCCCTCCAACCAACTCCTACTGGTTGAAGGAGTACATTAGCACTGCTGACATCTCTATGTAGTATAGGATGAGGCTTGAAGAGATGAAGGTAATTGAGAGCACAGGCTACATCTAAACTGATGCTCAGTATGGCAGGATAGGCCACTCCTCCACTCTCTAACTCCTTTCTTAGGCTCGTCGGCATTAGCTCTGTCAGGATGATTGGATTACCCTCTGTAGTCACTCCTATGAACTGAAGGAGGTTAGGATGACGTATTTTAGAAGCAATATTCATTTCGCGAGAGAATGTCCCAATGTTATAAGGAGAGATGATGACTTCGTAGAGACACTTTGCAGCAACCTTCAGACCACGAAAACTGGCCACTTTCACCTCTCCCCATCCTCCTTTACCAAGGACTACCTCTGTCATTGTAATCTCTCTTCTATTCACTACCCAGGAAGACTCTGCCACTTGTATCTGTTCTTCAAGTTGTCTCTCTCTTTCTTGGAACTCTCTCTCTCTTTCCTCAAGCTGTTGCTCTCTTTCTTGAAGCTGTCGCTGAAGATCCTGTTCTCTTTGCTGGCCACCTTCTACTTGCCTTTGAAGCTGTTGCTCTCTTTTTTGAGATTCTCTCTCTCTTGATTGAAGCTGTTGATCTCTTTCTTGAAGTTGTCGCTGAAGATTCTGCTCTCTTTCTCTGGCCTGCCTCTCTTGTTCTCTGCCCTGTTGAATTTGCCTCTCTCTTTCTTGTCCTTGTTGCTGTGCTTGTTGAAGTTGTCGTTCTCTTCCTTGAAGTTGTTGCTGTAGTCTGTTTCTAACTTGTTCCTTTTCTCTTCTCTCCTCCTCTAGTTCCCTTTCCCTTTCTTGTAGTACACGTGTCAGACGGTCTATTTCTCTTCTATCCTCAGGTTGAACAGGTTGAGATGCTTCCCAATCTCTTCTCCTTTCTTGTAGTTTCTCTTGATACTGGCCCAGAGGTATTATACTAGTAGACCAATCATTATTACTAGTATATCCTATACAGTAACACAATATTTGAATTAATGACAAGTACATTGTACATGTATAATAATAATAGTATTACTGTATTGTTGTATTATATTCAATATGTACAAATTGTGTATATTCAATACATTTGTATTTGCATGTACTCACTGAGTTCAATAACTGCTGTATCATTGTATGACGTGCCTCCTCCAAACACAATTATCCAGTTAGTGGTTGGAGTCACACTCCAAACTGAGAGAGAATGACACCATCTTTTAGTGATACTGTCTGGTATATTAACCTATAACAAAAAATAAATACAAATTCATTCATTTTCTTTTGTATTATTATATTCCATCAATTAAAAATGATTCTATTCCTCAATACTGTACAGTGTATTATGTATCTACAAACCCCACCCACAAACTATAAGCCACACCCTAAACCAATATAGTGTTGTATTATTAATGTAAACCATTCTTTCAGTAATTATTATTAATTATTTACATTATACAGTATAACATACATAAGTACAATACTTGATTACTAGTACATAATAATAACCAGTTATGATGTATTGTTATTATATTATAATATACTTACCAGTTCCTTCCATGATTTATTGTTAATATCAAATATCCAAATATCATTAGTACCAGATCCACCCACCACTAGTAGGTGTGGTCCTGAGCCAGTGTTAATCAATACACTGGAATGAGCATCTCTTTCCTTAGGCCACTGTACTGATCCTCCAAGATTAGATAACTTTAAACAATTCTAAAATAATAAAATAAAAAATAATTATCATAACCACACCCACACACTCAGTGTTATGAATAATAATACACACATACAATACATTATTAATTAATAATTAATGTAATTATACTAATAATACACTCACCACTGATGTATCAGTAAAATTAAGAATATATACATTGTTACTGAGTCTATTAGTAGTGCTACCTCCAAATTGTATAGCACTGGAATTATCAATTGATGTTAAAGTGAAGTCATGAATAGGAGGTGGTCTGTCTCCAGTGACAGTTGGTGATATCCATTGTCCTAAAAATATCAATAATAATAATTAGTGTGAATGGAATGCATTGGGTGGAGCAAACTAGTTGATATTTCTTTGATCATATTATCAAATAATTAGGAGTGACAACCATGAACAAACAAGCAAGCAATTCTCAATGCAACCAGTCTGAGTGGAGAACCACCAAATAACAATACTTCATTATATTAATATAAACTGTATGTGCTCTGACCTGTTGAGAGTTTATAGAAATGAATCTCGTTGCATCGTTGATGAACTCCACCACTGTACTGGGCACCAGGTTGTGGTGGGGTATTATTAGAAGATGGTCCAAATCCTCCAATTACTACAAGATAGTCCTCACCATTCTTTTTTATTGCTATCATGTCACAGTTGGCCTTCATCATAGGGCCATGATGAGATGTAGTAGGAGAGAGTTCCTTCCAACTGAAGGTATCAACATTAAAACTGTATATATAAAACATTATATAATATTTATCAGTAATTATTATGTTTACCTGTATAAACTATTATAATAACAGTCATCATGATTACAATAGCCTCCGAAATAAAATATTTCCCTTCCAATGGCAGCTGCTGCATAGCTAACAACACCCAGTGGAGGGTAACCAGTGGTGGGTTTCTGCTCCCACCTACCAGTCCTTAGGTGACACACCTCCATCACAGAACACATTGATTTCTTCTCTTCATTATTATGTACTTCAGGGAGATCAGGCTGGAGCCCACCCCACATGTACAGGTAGTCTCCTACCCGTACAGTGGAGTGGTAATTCCTCTCCACTGGTTGATAGTCTATAGATAACAAGAGGTAACAGTAACTGAATGATACACTAATAGTAACAGCACACGAGTCATAATCAAGTATAAACAAATTATTGACCTGATGCTTTGGCTGTCATTTTGTTTGGAGGTAACGCCCTTCTATGACATCATAAGAACAAGAAAATTAATCATTTTTAGCACAGCAAATTCAAAATTGTGATTATAAGGAAAAGCTAAAAATGATTGATAATAAAAAATAAATTGAGAAAGATTGTCGTGAAAAACATAGTCACTGATTACAATGAATAATAATAATAACTGAAAGGTTATACATATAGAGCCATTGATTGAAAAATACAAATAAATTTTTAAAAATCAGCTTTTCTCAGACTGAGTGTTCTTGAGTATGTCACAGAGTTGAGTGTGTCCACATGACTTAGCAATATCAAGAGCAGTTTGATTGTCATTGTCCTTCAGTTGTGTATTGCATGAAGGATGAGAGAGGAGCAGTTGAGATATGGTGGTGTAACCTTTCTCACATGCAAACATTAGTGAAGTGGACCCATCCTATACAATAATTAATACAAGAATAAGAATCATAAATAGATCACGAATACATGCACATTGGTATACTTAGTAAAAAGTGCATCTACAAGAGCTGAATTTCAGCACTAAGTTATCACAGTTATTGCATGCAATAAGGTCTATGTAGTAGTGGTACTATGATTCTATAAGGGCCAGACTATACTATAGTCTCAATTCATTACTGATAAGACTATCATAAAAATGAACAAATAAGGCAGTGCTTTGTTTCAAATTTTGTTATAAATGCATCTTGCTGGTGCTTGCATATTGCATTTTGTACATGACATGCATCAATGATAGTTTTAATATTAGCAAGTCTAATTGCGAATTGCGAAACTATTAAGAGTATTATTGTTCCACTTACTTTATCTTGTGCATTAATATCAGCCCCAGCTTCTAACAGCAGTGTAACTAGACCCAATGAGCCACTGGAGACTGAGAGCATCAATGCAGTCTGGAGCTCCTTCAAATAATAACAATATTAATATAATAAGTCCTTAATGGTATGAGAGGCAATTAATGCTATTGCAGACAATCTGTGGTTACTTTGATCTTCAGGCAACACATTGCTTACAGCAACAAAAGTAACCCCAGATTACATTGCAATAGAATTGCCTGGTGCATACTGGCCTTAAACGTTATAGATGAGGAATAGTCATTATATCTTACTATTTTAGATCTTATCTTTATATCAGTTTTGCTTAACAGTTTCTGTATGATTGGTTTATCATTACCACATTCAACATTATGAGCTGCAGCCAGCATTAGAGGAGTGTATCCAGCCTATGGAAGAGAGATACTGCATTATAATATCATGTATCATTCAGCTCTTGCCTTATTAGTGATGTTAGTGTCACAGCAACTTAGATCCAGTAGGACTGATACTGCAGGGAAGTTACCATTTGCTAGTGTGTGGTGTAATGCTGAATTACCCTATAAATAATAATTACAGATAGCTTTCAAAATTACATATAATAGTAAGTACTTTAAAATTTACAAAGCTATTATAAAGAAAATAATTATTAAATGTAAATTCTCAATGCTATTTCTCTTCATTCCTTTACCCTGGCATCTTGCATATTGACTATTATTTCAAGCAATTTTGGTGAGAGTCGATTAAAAGTTGTAATGTATGATTTAAGACAGTCTGAGGTGAGCTTCTTCTGTGGTACTACTTTAAACCAGCAGTCAGCTATAGACTGTACATATGAATCCTATGTAAGAGAAAAGAGGGAGTGAGAATTTTAATTGATATTATTTTAATAAGATAATAGTTTATACCATTTGTTCTTTTGATAGTTTGTTTTTGCTGGTAAAAGCATCAGCAAGCATTGTACATGAGAGCAAGACATCCTCAGGAACACTATATTTAATAAAAAGAGAATAACGACAACAATAATAATACTAATATTAGTAAAAATAAAAATAAATAACAAATATAGATTAGTAAAATAATAATAATTCACAACAGCCAGTAATTTTTCTCAAGCTAAAGTTGCAATATTTTATTCATTTATAGTGTGTATAGTATTCTCTCTTTCTCTCTCTTACCTAACAAAGCAGTCTTCATTTTTAGGAGCTGATGATACACTAGAAACTGCCAATAAGGTTGAACTACGTCTACGAATGGCAGGAGACAACTCTTGAGCTACCAGCAGTTCAGCCTGCAGTCGTCCAATCTGTTGCTGGAGGGCAGCATTCTGCATCTTAAGCTCTGAACAATGCTGGGCATCAAATGATACATCCTACATTAATATGGAGAAACAATATACTCAGTATCACTCAGTAATCTTCAGTATAACTTAGTGTAATTTTTAGTATATTCTCTGCATACTTTTAAAGGTAGCTCTGGCATAGGTGGTGGAGTGACTGGCCTGTCCCGCTCCAATTTTCCGCCTAGTTGCTTTACTTGATTCTGCAACTGTACGACCTATGCATAATTCAGTAAAACTCAGTGCACTCCAGTATATTATTGGTATATTCTAGTAGTCTCACCTGTATCTGCAGTGCTCTGTTATGCTCATTGAAGACGGTCACTAGTTGGGTTTGTGTTTCTAGTTTGACTTTTGTTTCTTCTCTTACTTCGTCTGCTCTCATTTCCTCATGTACTTGTCTCTTTAGTCGATTCACTTCAATCTCAACCTCAGCCAATTCCTTCTTTAATAAATTATTAGTCTAGGGATAAGGAAACATGATAAAGGGACAATTTAAAATGCTCATAACATGAAAAATTTAAGTCGGAATCATCTCAAACTTTCTACATAGCATAAAGACATTAATATGTAACAGAAAATGTAATAAAAATTGGGCGTGATTTTTTAGCCATTTTTTGGAAAAAAACCATGGGCTATAGTACAGGGATTTTTCAGATTTTGGCCGATTTTTTTAAATAGCCGTAACTTGAAAACTTTAAGTCGGAATCAGCTCAAACTTTCTACATAGCATAAGGACATCAATATGCATCAGAAAATTTAATAAAAATTGGTGGTAATTTTTGAGCCATTTTTTGGAAGAAACCATGGGCTATAGTACAGGGATTTTTTTTAGATTTTGGCTGATTTTTTTAAATTGGCTGTAACTTGAAAAATTTAAGTTGGAATCAGCTCAAACTTTCTACACAGCACAAGGACATCAATATGTATCAGAAAATGTAACAAAAATTCGGGGTCATTTTTTAGCCATTTTTTGGAAAAAACCATGGGCTATAGTACAGGGATTTTTTTAGACTTTGGCCGATTTTTTAAAATGGCTGTAACTTGAAAAATTTAAGTCGGAATCATCTCAAACTTTCTACATAGCATAAAGACATCAATATGCATCAGAAAATGTACTAAAAATTGGAGGTGATTTTTGAGCCATTTTTTGGAAAAAAACCATGGGCTATAGTACAGGGATTTTTCCAGATTTCAGCCAAAATGGTCATAAATTGATAATAATAATGATTTCACCACATACTTGTTCAAGTGCTTGTGTCTGTGTCAGTTGATATGATAATTGTTTGTTGTCATTATCAAGTGTCTCCAGCTGCTGCTCTAGTGTTGATATCGTCTGCTCGTGTTTATCATTCCATTGACTCAACAGTGACACTTGCTGATGCAGCTCCAAGTTCTCTTCTTGCAATGATCTTGTGGCTTCCTTCTCTAGAGCTGGCATCTCCATCTAAAAGAAAGAGAGAGAGAGAAAAAAAAATGAAAAGATGACACAGTTAACTTAACCATACTTCATGCATAAATAAATCTCAAATATTCATATAGATGTACATGTATATGTGCTGTATATAGCTACTTAAAGCATAGCCAAATTTTGGAGGCTGTATTAGTACATAAATTGATCAAATTATAAAATCCACCAAATAACCAGCTATTATTTAAATACACATACACAATACATACATTGTATGTACATTACTCCATTACCTCAACTCCCTTCAGTATATTCAGCAATGCTTTATTATCATTCTTCAATTGTGATGACTGGCCCAGCGTCTCCTGAACGTGATGCTTCAACACTTCATAATCCATCTCCAACTTCTCCATTTTATCCAGTCTATGGAGCAGATTATCCCTGGTAGCTGTTAGCATCTCGCACTGTGTCTCCTTCTCTTTTATTTTTATTTTGAGGCTTTCAAGTTCTTGTATTTTAAGCACTGCATTCTTAAGCTCAGTCTCCTTAGCTTGCAGCTGTGATTCTAGCTTGTTTGCTTGAGTCTGAGACTCTTTCCCTTCGTCTTTTAACTTGTTACACTCTGCTTTGAGCGACGTCGCTTCGACTTTCTTTTTCGAGTGGGCAGCTTGCAATTTTCTAAGCTCATCCCGAGTCTTCTTAAGCTCTTCATTTAGCTTTTGATTGTGGAGTAGGGAATTTGAATGAGTCGACTGAAGGTGTCTTAGTTCATCATTCTTAGCAACCAGTTCTGATTTTAGGCTCGAAACTTTGTCTGTCGACGAGGTTTTCTCTCTCTCGAGTGATTCGGTTTTTCGTAATAGATTCAATTTCTCTGATTCGCTCTTTTGATAAGAACCTTCCAGTTCCCTGATCCGAGCTACTCTTGATGAATAATCAGTCGTTAGTTGACCCATTTCTGTCACTGTCTTTGCCAGCTCTGAATGAAGTTTAGGTATTTCGATCGTCTTAGCTTCCTTGAGTTCTTTCTCGACAGAAACCTTTTGCAATTTTTCTTTCTCAAGTTGCTTCGTTAAAGACTGTAGCTTCATCTCAACCTCTGCTAATTTCTGAGCTCCTTTTTCTGTCTCTATACTTGACTCTTTCAACTTCCCTTCCTTATCTATTACCGATTGCTGGAGTGTGTCTCTCTCTTTCTTTAATTCTCTCAGTTCTCCCTTCAATTTCTCTTCAGTAGTTCTCGTCTCGTCAACTGCTGACTCAGCTTCGTCAAGGTCCGACTGAAGTAGGCGGAGCTTCTTTTTGAGGTCACGAGAAAACTCGTGGGCGGCTTCAAGCTTTTCCTCGAGCTCTTGGGTCTTTGTGATTTGGGTCTCACACTTTTTCTCAGCTAGACTGAGTTTTCTTTCCATTTCATCTCGAGCTACTCTTAACTCAGTGCTTTGTCTTGTTAGAGTTGGTGTCTCTTGAGAAAGAAGTTCCACTTTTTGCTTTAGCGAGTCGTTTTCAGATAAAATAGAAGACAATTTTTGTGTCAGCTCAGAATTCTGCTGTACTAAGTTCTCCTTTTCTTTAGACAGTGCGTCGCGGTTATTTTTAGCTTCTTCCAACTGGAACTGAAGCTCATTAAAAGACTTGGTTTTTTCCGAGAGGTTTTTCGAAACTTTCTCAAGCTCTGCTTTAAAGCTCTCGTACTCCTTCAGAGTTGCTTGGATTTCTTTAAGTTTCATTTCGTTTTGATTCAAAGATGCTTGTACACTATCTCTTTGCTCTTTCATCGATTTCAACTCCTCAGTCAAAGACTGGATTTTCTCTTCACTTGCCTTAGACTCAGTTTCCTTCTCCTCAGACAATGAAACAATTTGAGTCGACAATTCTTCGATTTTAGTTCTCAAATCCTCAGAACTATCAGTCTCTTCTTCTCCTCCCTCCTCTCCATTTTTCTTCTCGTTCAGTTTATTGCTCATTTCGTTCACCTCCAGGGACGCTTTTGTTTTTGCCAGTTCTTCCTTCAATCGCTCAATCTCCTTCGTACTCTCACTCATTTCTTTCTCCATCTTAGTACACTGTCCTTGATATATTTCCACAAGTTCTGCAGACTTTTTAAGATCTCCGGCGAGAGACTTTAACCTTGACCGACCCTCTTTCACCTTTCGACTCAAACGATCTCGCTCGATCTTCGTCTTTTCGAACTTCTCTCTCGTCTCTACAAGCTCATCTCCAGCACTCTCCTTAGCTACCACCTGTTGCTCTATAACTGATAGTCGTCGTAGCTCAACTTTCATTTCTTTCACTTGACGTTTCAAAGAATCTCGCTCGTCCTCCACTCCCTGTATCTCCGGACTCAAAGACCTACGAGCAATAGTCTCCTCCAACTGTCGTATCCTCTCTCGTGCTATGACTAGTTTGCTATCAGACTCCTCTATCTGTCTCTGTAGATCATCAATTGCAGTCTCATTTAGACGAGCCGTTAGCTCGGCTATTTTCGACTCCATTTCTTGTCTTTCCGATACGAATGTCTTTATGATGCTCTGCATCTCGTGTGAGTGTACCTCTAGCTGTTGGAATCTTAGGATCAGTGCTCGTCCGTCTGGAGAGAGTTCTCTTAGTGGGTCGTCTGAGGTTGAGCCAGCGGCAGCAGCTGCTGAAGGAGAGGAAGGGAAAGACCCCTCGGACTGGACCTAATGATTGACGAAATAATGAAATAAAAATGTTTTGAAAAATACACTGCATGCTTTGTATAGTAAATATGGTGTACATGTAATAATAATAATGATTAATAATAAAATCTCTAAAATTAATGTATGCACAGTAAATTGTACATTATAGATGCATGTATATGTACATGTAGTTTTAATAATGTAAAAGACTAATAATGAGTAATCCACAAATAGTCAAACATGTACATGTATACATGTACTACAATAAAATTACATATTATTATTATTATTATTATTATTATTATTATTATTATTATTATTATTATTGTTATTATTATTATTATTATTATTATTATTATTATTATTATTATTATTGTTATTATTATTATTATTATTATTACTTACTTGTACTTGCTCCATTTCCAGTAATTGTTTCTCCATCTCATACTTTGATGTCTTCACATTTAGAGACTCAATCTCAAACAGCTTCAGTACCAGTTGCTCCTTCTGAGTCCTCGACTCCATCTTCATGCTCTCTATCTTTGCCCTCAGTCTTGAGTTTGCCTTTTTAACAGACCGAACCTCTTTCTTGAGGTGAGCCAAATCAACATCAGTCTCGTTATCATTACGATATTTAGCGTCGACCAGTTCCTGGTAAAGTGAGGACTTTTCGTCTTCGAGTTTCTTGATACGCTCTTGTAGGGGGCCGGAGGTGTTTTGTGATGAATGGAATTGCTCCATCCTCGACTGGATGCTGTCACAGTTCTCAGTAACGGCAGATAAATGCTTAGAAACCGACTTCATCTCTTCCATTATGCGTGCGTTAGCCGATTTGAGTTTCTGGTTCTCTTCTAGTAGACTCACGTAAGTCTCGCTACTCACACCTTCGGGTAGATCTGACGGAACTCTTGGTCGGTCTCCACCCCTAATCTCTGCCTCTTTTACTTGTTCTTCCAACTCTCGTATCTGTGACCTTAATAGCGGTATCCCTTGAACCTGATCCTCCATCTGTTTCAATTGTGCCATTGTTGTTACTAGTGTATTACGAATGGCAAGTACTTGCTTGTTGCTACTCGAGTCAGACTTTGCTAATTTCGCCAGCTCCTGGTTTTGCTCGTGTAGTAGAGACACTCTCTGTTTCAACTGTAGTACAATCGCTCTTTGCTCCAGTAGCTCATTCATCAATTTTTCTCTCTCTCGATACATTGCTTGCAAGTCCGACCGAAGCTTTGGTATTTTACTAACTTCTCTTTCTAAGCTTTTTGAGTGTAGAAACGACTGTGTCATTTGCTTCTTGATGTCTTGTAGTATCTTGTGTTCTGACGAAGGAGGTTGGATGAGAGATGAAACTGCTGTATCTGCTATAGAGCTGGTACTACTCCTCCAACTCAGTGAAGGTGAGGGAGCACGAATCACGTCCAGGTGTGACATGGAACGACTGTCACGTCCATTACGCAGGTCTACGGGTGGGGACGTCATGGCCCGTGGTCGAAGGGAATCGGTTGAAGGGGTTCCAGAATGACGTGGCGAGGGAATATTCGGGTTTAAAAAAGGAGGTGGGGTTTGGCTCCGATCTAAGTCATTCTGACTCTGAAAGTTGCCATCAATGACTGTTATCTTTCGTCTGTTATTTCGTTGACCGGTGGGCGTGGCTGAAGCCGATACGGCCCCCAGGGAGGGACTTCGACTTTTAGAAAGAGACGAGGAAGAGAAACTGTCCCTTATGATCAACTCCATGATTAGAATGAAACCGTCACAGACAACAAGAAACTATTACTGTATTAACTTCTCTTTGATGTTTCTTCAATTCCTAAAACTATCAATTTTTTGTCTTTCCAAAACAAGCTTTCTCTCTCTCTCTCTCTCTCTCTTTTCCTTCTGATTTCAGCTCTCAGTTGTCAGTGGTGTCTATGGATAGACAAAGAGATAATGACAATGTATGTAGCAATGAATAAAGGTAGCAGTCATATCAACACACTAAGTACTGTAGTGGTATATGATATACATGTATATATGTACATGTATATGCATTTAATTATTGTATTAATAATTGATGATGTTGTATAAACAATTGGGAGTCATAAATATAAACAAGGCTAATAAGAAAAATAACAATTTAAAGACATCGATAAACAATTATTTAATAATAACAACAACAACATGTACATGTACGTGTGTGTGTACATGCTTGCAAAAAATTTTTATCATTGATCTAAAAAAATTAAAATACCGAGAATGGTATAGAGTTACAAGTAGTATGCACTGGAAATGTACAAATAATACTCATCATATTACAAGCAATAATACTAATAATAATAATACTAATACTATTACTAATAAATACTATTCTTATTTCTTTACTAGTGTATTGCTGACATGTAAATGTACATGTACGTGAGCCAATTTAAAAAATACATGTAAACACGACAATAGTAGTAATAGTACACATGAAACATGCATCAAATTTACATGTGACACTGTAAATTATCACAAAATTTTTACTAGCATTATTATCATATTATTATTATTATTATTTGCAATGGGGAATAAGAAGAACAATAGCTCAACCAATTAGAGAATAAGAGTTTAACAATAGGTCCATATATGGACAAATGAAGGAGCTAATCATGTTTATATATAAACAACAATATTAACACTGCACCCACCCAATACACAATACATACACATACAATACATACAAGTACATAATATACGTACATACATACATACCAGTAGGATGACAGCATTCAATTATACAGTATAATAATGTATCTATAGAAACTTGGTTGCTTAATGTGATATTATACTACTGACACACACACACTGGGCTACAGCCTACAGGACATGCTTTGGTGAATACAATAAGCAATAATGTATATAAACACAAACCAAACAAGACCCCAAATATATAGCAATAATACAGAATAATTATATCAAAACAGGATAATTTCAATGGTACTTGTTTTTATAATGGAATGGGAATATCATGCATGTACATGTATGTACACGGGTTGAAATGGAATGGTATTTAACTTCATCTTGAACACTGTGCATTATTATTATTATTATGGCAGAATCACCAACCAGGCCTTCAGTAGTATTGCAGTTTGTACACTTACAGGGGAGTCACCTAAGTATTGATAATAGTACAATTAAGAACATTCAGTTCTGGGATGGAATAGATTAAATCATTATTATTTATTATTTTTTTATTATTGTTTGTAGGGCAATAAGGTTTCAATGGTCACTCCCTTCTCTTAGCTAGTATATTAGCACACAGGATTGTTGGATGAAGACCAGATGTGAAGACATGACACAACCTTGTAATGATTCATATACCTCTTTGTTCTCTCCTCTCTCTTCACTCTCTCCTTCTCTCTCTCTCCTCTCTCTTTTTCTCCATCTCTCTCTTTCCCCTGCCTTTTTCCCTAGCTCTCTCTCTCTCTCCTGCTTTCTCATGCTTAATCAGTTTTCAGTTTCTCACTTGATCTCTCCCTCCCTCCATCAATGGGCACAAATCCTTAATACTTCCCCTCCTCAAAGCAGATGATCTAATCCTGTTTTTCCCTTCCTCCCCTTCCTAATCTTCATACTTTACATTCATGAGAAAAGCAGTGAATATACTTAGTGTCTTCCTATCAAAACTTACACAAGATGCCACAAATTCAGACACAGTGTACTCATACAAGCTTATCACACACAAAAATTCAATAAGTTACAACTATTGTATTAACAGCAATAGACCCTACTCTACTGAATAATGGTATAGTTACACGGGGCATTTAACACGACTTACAATAGCAAAACAGGGTACATGCATTCACCAACAAGCTCTAAGAACAAGGGATTCGATGTAGCATCATAATTATTATGAAAAATAATTATTAGTCTCTGGTCAGCTTAACCGCAAAATAAAAAGATAGGCTTTGGCTATCATTACAGCGGAACTGACCTGTTTCTCTACCGCTTTTTCGTCTACTGCGGCATTTACTGATGAGTAAATCAGCCGGCCTGATTGCTCTAACCACACTCGCTCTGTGCTTCTTCTTGTATTATTCACAGTGCACCCAACTCATGAATCTTGTATAATGAATTCCTCAAGGCTTGTTTCCTCATCGTGAATACCTAATTAGATTAATGAGCCACTCCCAGTTAATGAGCTCCACCCTCTTGAGCTGCAGAGTTGCTGCAGAGCACAATGAAAAAGGTTTCAAAAAACTACAATATATTTTATTTACAATTATGACAATAGTATTATGCATCATTTAAGTCTTTAGTTCTTTATTTAGGCAGTGAAAAAGTTCCTCAACAGTGCCAAAACTATGTGATTTGACTACAGTATTGAAACGAGGATTCAGTAGAAATCCTTCAGTTTCCACGAGATCCTCTATGGAATGTGTAGTGCCTCTTACAGAAGGATTTGGATCACGACTATCAATCCTTGATTTGACATCTTTAAACCTTTTTACATCATTTAGCGGTATTTTCAAGTCCCTTGATCTCGGTTTATAGCTATATCCTGGTCTACTGGCTGAAGGTCTACTGGTTGTACCATCTGCCGTATGTGGACGAGGGTCAGTGGAATATGGTACAGCGGTATGACTGTCAATACGTGGGCTAACAAAGGCTTTATAGTCAGGTATTTTTTGTAGACATATTCTAGTTGTTCCACCTCCTAAAATTAAAAAAAAGTTTGTAAAAATTGAAAAGCTTTTCATTCATTGATACATGTGTAGCTATTGCAAGTTGATACTCTGTCACTGATGTTTTTACCTGGTTGATGGTCGAGGTTTTCTTTGCTTGGCAGCCTAGATTTAACATGCTTGTATTGATCTGCCGACTTAGTCCTTCTCTTTTCCTTCTTCTTCAACCCGCTATTAGTCCGCACACATAATGAAAACAGCATAACTATAAGATACTATACTACCTTGTGCTTGATAAAGGATACATAGGGACAGATCTCATTTGAAGTCTACTAGCATGACTCAACTCCTTGTAATCTCTATAACAGTGCTTAATAGAGACATGGGAAGAGTAGTGAAGGCTTACTTGTCATTGCTGGGTTTGTGAGCTGCCATAATGCTCTGCTTTTAAGAGCAAGAAGTGCAGTAGATGCAGAATGTCACGCAAAAAATCAGCCCCACCCAAAAAGGGAGGGGCTCTATATACAATGTCATTCATCAAATGAGAATTAAAACTGGATGAGCTTATTCGTTTCACTTCCTCTTTCTCTTTGCGGTCGTCGAAAAGGAAAAGATGAGGAGTACAGCAACAAAAGTGATCTGTCTCTGCCTCCTCTGGTATGTCAGCGGGGCCGGTAACAGCATCGCTGCAAAGAAGGCTCTATCAATTTTTCCTTATCCTATGACAGTAAGTCAGAGATGAATACACTGTTGGTATTTGAATGACACTAGCGATTGTTGTACTTGTTACTTCTTTTACAAGTTAATACCATAGGCTTGTAGTTATAGTACAAGCATCATATCTTATTTCTTGTTTTATAATTTGTTGATCTTTTCTGTCCCTCCCTCCCCCCTCTCTCTACTCTAGGTATCAATGCTTCATTTATTAGCAATGAACTGTCTATTAGGGCCAGCCCTAACTCTCCTCGACATCCCGCCCACGCCTCATTTAAGCAAGAGGTTCTATATTAAGAGACTCATTCCGCTAGCTATCAGTAAAGGACTGGGATCAATATCGAGCCACTTTAGCTTGTGGAGAGTTCCAGTTTCTTACCTGCATACTGGTGAGTGAGCCCCTGTAATTAGGACAACAACAAGTTACTATTATTGTTTTTATTTTCTATAATACTTTCCTTTATGATCGGTATTGTTTTTGATTTCAAAAATAGTCAAGGTAAGCAAATCATGATATTTTAGTAACTACGACAATCTCCCTCTCTTTCTCTCTCCTTCCCTTATCTCTCTCCCTCTCTTCTCTCTCTTTCCCTAGGCTTTAGTTCCATTATTTACAGTAGTCCTTTCAACAATAATTTTAAAAGAATCTTACTCATGGAAGGTATTTAATATTTATATTTCCTCTAATTTTGACTATTACTCCATACAACCACACGACCCAACCTTGAAACAATACACTAGTACGAATAAACTTATTTAATAAACACGCCACAACCTAGTCAAAATAATTATTACTAAAATAATAATATTATTATTATTCTTGACACACAATAAATTTCGCAATTTCATTATATACGATTTACTAAAATTATTTAATATTTATTTATTACTTCATTGTATTATACTACTACTAAATGAAAACACAATTCCATTTATATACTATTATTTGTAGGTATATGTTAGTTTACTGCCAATTGTGTGTGGAGTACTGATGGCTACTGTCACTGAACTGAGTTTTGACATGATTGGAATGATATCAGCTACACTGGCTACGCTACTGTTTGCATTGACTAACATATATTCTAAAAAGGTAACATTATTATTATCAATGTTACTCTATCAGTAACAAGCCTATTAATAGTAGCAATAATCTATTAATAGTACAGTACTAATCTATAAATAGTATCATAATAATCTACTGTATACTGGGAAATTTTCGAGTAGCCAAATTTTTGCAGATTTCGCATTTTCTTACTCCGTCGCGAAAATAAAAATCGTGAAATTCTGAATTTCCATTGCCACGTGGTGGAGTTTACAAGCTATTCGCGAAAATATTATTTCGTGAAATCCTACAAATGCAAAATTCGTGAAAATTTAGCGACGCGAAAATATTCCAGTATACGGTATTATTATTACTCTATTAAGCTGATCTTGATGATAGAGCTTTATTACATGTACATAATTGCGATACTATTTTTAGAATTTCATCTATAAATAGATTAAATTTTTTCCTTATATTATAGAGTATGAGGGAAGTGCAGATTAATCACTTAAGACTGTTGCTTTTATTGACTCAGTTAGCTACAATATTCTTATTTCCTACGTGGATGTACTTTGATGTATGGAATATTGTCAATAATGTATACAAGGTAAATGTGAATATTGTTTTTTAAAATGGCCGTAACTTGAAAAATTGAAGTCGGATTCAGCTCAAACTTTCTACACAGCATAAGTACATCAATATGTATCAGAAAATGTAATAAAAATTGGGGGTGATTTTTGAACCATTTTTCGGAAAAAACCATGGGCTATAGTACAGGGATTTTTTCAGACTTTGGCCAATTTTTAAAAATGGCCATAACTTGAAAAATTTAAGTCGGAATCAGCTCAAACTTGTTACACAGCATAAGGACATCAATATCTATCAGAAAATGTAATAAAAATTGGGGGTTATTTTTTTGCCATTTTTTGGAAAAAACCATGGGCTATAGTACAGGGATTTTTCCGAATTTTGGCGTTTTCTTAAAATGGTTGTAACTTGAAAAATTTTAGTCGGAATCGGCTCAAACTTTCTACACATCATAAGTACATCAATATATATCAGAAAAAGTAATAAAAATTGGGAGTGATTTTTGGGCCATTTTTCGGAAAAAACCACGGGCTCTAGTACAGGGATTTTTTTCAAAAATTGGCACATTTTTAAAAATGCTTGGAATCAGCTCAAACTTGCTACACAGCATAAGTACATCAATACGCATCAGAAAATATCATTAATACATGTAGTACAGTAAAACCATCTCTCTCTTTATCTCTTATTAGATTCAACACATCAGTTGGTTGGGTCTCATGTTAGCCACTAGTGCTATCATGAGTTTCATTCAAAGCATTGTCTCATTTTCTCTCCTCTCTCTCATTTCTCCAGTGGGTTACTCGGTCGCTAACGCCAGCAAGAGGATCATAGTGATCACAACGTCACTCGTGTTTCTACGGAATCCAGTCACCCCCTACAACGCACTGGGAATGGTAATAGCTATATCAGGAGTCGCACTGTATAACAAGGTCAGTATATCCCTGTATACCTTTGTATATTTTTAGTATACTTTCGGGATACTTTTGTGATTAAATTTAATGCTTCTTTTTTTCTTTTACAGATAAAATCTGATATACAAATGAGGAGAAGCATTCTTCCTAAGTCCCTCAATGACATCGCTAGTAGTAGCAGTAATTCTATAGCAAGCCTATTGATGTCAAGAATAATATAACACAATATTAATTTATTTATTTGATTTATATTTCATTTCATTATATACGGGTAATAATTTTCAGTTGATACCATTCAAAATATTAAAAAATTTATATCAAGTGTCTTTGTTGCAGCAATTATCAAGTGGAATTTAAAATGCTAAAAATTGTAGAAAAATTCCAACTTTCCTATTGACATTTTTTTTCAAATTTTTGGAAGTTTTTTTAAATCGAAATAATATAAGTATACAGATAATACAGGAGAGGAGGGACAAGAAATAATAATAATAATAATAATAATATGAGAACTAATAATAATAATAATAGCCAAATAGCAAAGTCACAGCGGAAAGAAGAGAAAAAGACAACGTCTATTATATTATTTAAATTATAATAATAATAATTTTAAATTGCTCCTATGGCTAGTTGATCAGCTTCTCTCAGAGCTCGTCTTTGGCTGCGTCATCAGTTTCGGTGTCATCTCCTTCGTCGTCCTTAGACTCATCGTCTCCATCACCCTTGCTCTCTTCATCATCATCTTCAGCCTGGAGAGAGGATTAATATTATATATTGTATTTTAACAGAGGAATAATAAAATAATCTTAGTATAATAACCACACCATAATTTTGACTGATTAATTTGACTGATTCACAAAGCAAAGCATATAAATAGGGGAATACACAAGTATTGAGAATATTGATTTTACTGTAAATATAATGCTTATTGTAAAAATGCAAATATAATACAATTATTATTATTATATTTTCTTGTCATTACATACTTCTTCCTGTTCGGCAGCCTCTGCATCTTCTTTAGCCTTTCTCTCAGCCTCTTCTGCTTCACGCTTCTTCCTTTCCTCCTCATCTTGCTATAAAGGGAGAAAAAAAAAGAATATATTAAAAAGTTTAAGGACAGTAGATCCCTAAGCCCCACAAATACACACAGAACACAATAAATTTATTTGCTTAAATAAAGCAGCTTTCTATCCTGGACAATAGTTTTGTCAAAGTAACCCAGAACTACCTGCAATAGATGTGCCCATACAGTGTATGGGACAAAGCCCTCACTCTCTCCCTTTCTCTATGTACTTACTGCATCTTTCATTTTCTTCTCAGGGTCTTTGGTTGCTCCCCAGGTTTCTCTGCCAAAGGTCTCGGCGTATGCTTCGTCATCAGTTATCAAGAAATTATCAAAAATGGTGCCAGATTTAACCTGTAGAAATTAACATAAATAAATCACATAAAATACACACACACACACACACACACACACACTACATTTTAATGTTTACTGTTGATATCAATCAGGGACTAACATTAGTCCCTTCCAAAAATTTGTGTCACTTCAATATAATAATTAAAAGCATTCTTAAAGCATCAGTGGCTCTCTTTATAAACCATACCAACCTCGTAATAGCATCGTGGGGCGTACCGTTACAAGTAATGAACATTGTCTAACATACATGTATGTACAAGATGCACTAACTACGAAGAATTAACATAAAACACACACAGACACATAATTTTAATATCAATCAGGGGCTTATAATGGCCCCTTCCAAAAATTGTAACCTGAATTTTTTCTAAATGGGTCAAAGTGCCGTATTACTACTAGGACCCAGCAACTGTCTTTATAAATCATACCAACCTCGTAATAGCATCGTGGGGCGTACCGTTACAAGTAATGAACATTGTCTAACACATGTGACTAAAAAGAATGTAAAACATTGAGGGGCTTGTGACCACACCTACCAGTCACACCCAAATGTACATACATACAGACAGAAATTCTTGTAAGGGCTTGAGCCAGTTATTAAAAAGAATTAGCACACACACACACACACACACACACACACACACACACACACACACACACACACACTAAAACTTAATGTTTGCTGTTAATGTAAATCAGGGACTAATATTAGTAGTCCCTTCCAAAAATTTGTGAAATGAGGTTCCAGAAATACACGACGACAGCATTAGTAGCTGAGTAGCTCTCTTTATAAACCATCCCAACCTCGTAATAGCATCGTGGGGCGTACCGTTACAAGTAATGAACATTGTATAACACACATACAACATGTACTAATAATTTAACTTTATATAAATAACAAAATATATTAAAATAAAGTGACTATTACTCTGTTATACCTGCCAGATGTCGATACCAATAACTCCAAAGTCCTCATATTTATAAAGGTTAGAGTCAGCCTCATACTCGGGATTAGGTACCTCGGGATGAACCCATTCTCCTTTGTAAGCAGGATTATCAATCTGCTTAGGCTTCCACTCACCCTAAGGAGAGAGAGAGAGTAATTATCATTGTTAAATCTAACTAAAAATTGGAGACTTAATAAATATAGCAAAAAAAGCTGAACAATGGGAAAATTCAAGAGACCAAGTCTCCTTAGCTCCCTTTATGTATTTCATTTGTTATAGTACATGTACATGTAAATGGTAATTATCTTTTCATGGTGGTTTAAAGTCATGGTCACCTTGTATTCAGGGTTAGAGATCATAGGTGGTTCCCACTCTCCATCAGTGTCATCATCCCAGTCATCGGGTTTAGTGGCCTCTGGATCAGCAATGTGTTCAGGCTTATCCCAATCCTAAATAAGGAGAATAAGGAGAGAGAGAGAGAGAAAAAAGAATAAAATTAAAAAAAGATACACAACTATACATGTATATACATAATAATTCCAATAAACACCCACCAAGAAAGAATAAAATTTAAAATAAAATAAAAATACTATAGGTTTTATATAATAATTCCAATTGGTGCCCACCTCTGGTTTCTTGTCATCAGGGTCATCAATCTTAGCTCTATCATCCCAATCGGATGGTTTGGACGCCTCTGGATCAGGAATGTTCTTTGGAGGTAAGAAGTCCCAGTCTTCCTCGAGAGACCCACTCTGAGCCTTCTCATTGTCAATCTTAACCTCGTAAGTATTATCAGGTCGAACTATGAGTGTGTAGAGGTGAGTGAATTCGTCGTCCTTGCAACGGATCTCCTTCTTGATCAGGAGGTTCTTTCCCTTGTATTGGAAGATGACGTGGACTTTCTTGGTTCCGGGGCCGCAGATGTCAGGTCCTGTAGGGTGTGGTTAGGGCGGGGTTTGAGAAGAGAGGTGTGGCTTACCGAACATGATGTTGTAGTTTGAGTCTCCATGCATGTCGGCTTGATCCAGGGTACTTGGGAAGATCTAGAGAGAGAAAGAGGGAGAGAGGGAGGGAGAAAGAAAGAGAGAGGGAGGGAGAGAGAGAGAGAGAGGGAGGGAGAGAGAGGGAGGGGAGAGAGGGAGAGAGAGAGAGAAGAAATAATAAATATTGGTAAATTTAATTCAAAAGTATATACAATATAGCAACATAATTAAATCCTAGAGTTATACAAAAACATAAACTCAGTCACATGTATAATCAAATTAGACATCTCAGTATATCTTAGTAAACCACAAACTCAATACCCAAACTCTATCCAAGTTGCTTTGGCAGGTACATGTACATGTACAGAGAAGGACAAAGAGCTAATTGTTCATTTAACCAATCAATGAATGATTGAGAAGAAGAGTAGAGTACTACTAGAAAACCTCAAACAAGTAAATACTGTAAAGAGAGAAGCCATTATAAGCAGGTGCACAAGAGCAAAGGCCATAATGACAAGGATAATTGATGAATACATATTCAATTCGGTATAAAAGTCTGGGACTATACAATTCTTCAAAAAAAAGCAATAGAAAACTAATAGGTCAAATCACTCATGTAATTTCAGCTATTACAACATGTACATGTACATACATGTACATGTACATGTATATAAATAAAGGGTATGATATTATCAATGTTATACATGATGGATCATCCAGTGAGATCTCTTAATGTATTGTACATGTACATGTAGGTATGTTATGAATACTAAAAACCTCGAGAGATTATGAAACTACAAGTATATTTAACTGTGAATATGTATACACAATGTATCTGTTATTTTCAATGTACATGTACATGTACATGTACTCTATATTAGAGATTATGAATATGAAACTTAAAATACCAATACTAACCAACATATATACTTCTACCACAACACAGAATACATGTACATGAACATGCACACACTAAAGAAGATTCCATTAAGTAATATAGTAAGTAGAAATCCCCACCCGCCCACACAGCTGGTAATTAAATATGTATACTAAAAGGTTCTAAACCTAAACTCTTGTTAGGCTCTGAAACGACACCTGACGTTTATTTAAAAACTAAAACAAACTCCACCAGCTGCACATTAAGGCCCTGCTCTGGTAATGATACTGGCAGCTGCTTTTAAAACCTTAGCATGATAGCAGTATGAAACCCGACCCGTAAAAACCTAACTGGATTAATTAGCAACATTACAAAATACCACCCTCTTTTGCAGCTATTTCTCCCCCTTCTCTCTCTCTCCCTCCTTCTATAACTACAGAAAAAATTAACTACAAAATATATGTACATGTATGTACATGTACATGTAATTATACTTCTCTATTGCATTAAAAGCTACATTCATGTACATGTACATGAGCATTATGCATGTCTTTCTCCATTGATAATATTTCAAAGCTACATGTACATGTACATCTCTCTCTCTCTCTTACCTTCACATAGCCTCCTCCACAGTCAATCTTCTGCTCGTGTTTTACAGTGAATTGTACCACTAGTGTCTTGTCGGCGTTTGAAAACTTGTCGAATGAAGAGGAAGCAGCATAAAACCTAGCATCCTGGCTAGTCTGTAAGCCTGAGAGAAAAAAATGATAATTATTACGACCAATATATGTACATATTGATCTAAAAACTGTATATACATGTACATGTATAAATAGCACAGTTTATTGTTCAAGAACATGATTCTGCTTCAAACCTCACTGCTACAGCTAAAATACAAATATCACTTGCTTTTGGCACATAATTACAACCAAATCAGCTAATATCTATTTTCTTTCTTTACCCTTGTCTTTCTCGGCGTCTCCATAAAACTTTCCAGCCGTCAGCTCAAACTTTCCATAATCAGACTTGTGCTTGGAATAGACCCATCTATCCGACCACGAGGCTGTAGAGAGAGGGAGGTAACAAGCTAAAGCACTAAATTACTGCTGTTTTTACCTCCATCTTCAAAAGTCTCCTTGAAATATACCTGCGGCTCGGCTAGAGCAGTAACTAGGAGTGCAGTTAGGAGCAGTAATGTCTTCATGTTCTTCTCTTGTTCCTGGATAATCTAAAAAACACAACCCACCCTCTTTTCTCCTTTTTTTTGGTTGTACAGCTGCTGCACGAGGCTGCCCTTTTTTGGCGCATGGGCCCTGGCGTGGGTAATTCTGATTGGTCCGTTTGAAAGCTGACGTGTACGCCCATAGTTGCTCCACGTGGTTTCCGGATACTAAATACTTCCTGAAATGATATCCGGGAAGACACAATTGCATATCCTTTTACATGCATTGAAAACATGACCATAATTTAATTACTAAAAATAATTAATAATAGACATTCTCAGAATTTTTTAGCTGATTAGCTTTGCAAATTGCAAGTTGATGCAAGCATTTAACACCAACGATTCCAATTTGATCACTATCATGATTTGATTTCAATATCATGATTTTAAATCACAAGCGTGATGCCAACAATTATCATGATCATAAAATACAATACAATACAGTACATTAGGATGACATTAGTTCAGTGTCTCAGTCTAAATAAAGGATGCTGTGGTCTTGCTCTTGCTGAATACTCCATGTACATCATGTCGTTGTCGCCTGACATTGTTGCCATTAACCCTGCCTTCCTCTCAAAGCCACGCCCTTTTCCTTGTCCCCCTCCGGACGTGGACAAGACCTCTTCATCAGCATCACTATCAGAAGCAGCTAAAACCTGAAGAAAAGAGAGAGAGAGAGAGAGAGAGAGAGAGAGAGGGAGAGAATATACATGTACATGTACCGTATAGCTCCAAATTTTTAATAGTCATAAATTTTTCCAAAATCTTAATTTCTTGATAAAATTAATTTTTGTGAATAAAACATTTTTGTTATTAATCTGCTTACTACCCATGTGGAATAAAAATTTTATCAGTTAAAAATTTCGTCAAGCAAAAATACCTGACGAATTTGAGGAAAACTTTGACCGACAAAAATTTGGAGACAAAATGGTGGATTTTATATGGGCAATTTCTTAAAACTGCCGATTGCCAATATTAATTTCTCGCCAATAAATCATCTTGTACGGTATTTACTAAATATCTTCACTCCCCATTCTCTATTCTGTAAGAAATCCATTACCTAACAATACAATAATGACATCATTTGACTATCACATGACTATCACATGATTGTCATGTGACTATCATGTGTCAGTACTTGTTGTGAGTCCCATGCTCTCTTCTGAGTGTATGATACCATTGAATAAGTACTGATAGCAATACTGCTGTTAGCTGATGGGAAATATTAAAAAATATGAAATAATTATTGAAATATCAAAGTTACATGAAAAATGGCTTGGCTATTTATTAATAATGCATTATGAGAAATGAGAAAAATAAGAGAAAAATAACACTTTATCTATTTTTACAATACTACCGGTTCATGTTTAAAACAGTGCAAATACAATAATTATTAAAATAGAAGGGATTGTCATAAAATAATGTAAAAAATTCATTGGTAATTCAGCTATAAAAGTAAATCTATCATGAATAATAAAGTTAAGTCTAATAAACAACAAGCCGTTTATTCCTCCAATCACAAACATATAAGAATCCATCTTTATCTAATGCTAATCCATAAGGATCATTAAACTGATCAATATTACGGCCATAATTTCCAAACTTACTAACAAACACACCATCACTAGTGAAGACTGATATACGATGATTGCCCTCTTCACTAACATACACTAAACCAGTAGCTGCAGTGTCTATTGCTATACATATTGGACTATTAAGCTCATCAGAACCAGGTCCATAAGTACCAAACTGACGCACAAACTTTCCATCTGGAGAGAACTTCTGAATGCGATGATTATCACTATCAGTAACATACACTAATCCTTGACAGTCAATAGCAATGTCTAAAGGGAGGCTTACATGTAACTGTCCATTAGCTGATTCTTCACTACCAAGTGAATGAGAGAAGGTTAGATCAGGATTCAAGACTTGTATACGATGATTATCCCTATCAGCAATATAAACCTGTCCTGTTATAGGAGAAATGGCTATACCAAAAGGTTCATTGAATTGTAGTGGTCCACTGCCCTCCTCCTCCTCACCAATTGATGCTATAAGGTATCCATCCATGCTTATCTTCTGGATCCTGTGATCGTCAGATACAAGAATGAATTTGTCTGGAGTAATGGCTACACCACGAGGAGAAGAAAATTCAATATTACCACTTCCTCCTTCCCCTCCTAATGATTTCACTTTCTTTCCTTCTCTATCCAGTATTGTTACACAGTTACCATCATGCTCAGTTACTATAACATGATTATCATCAGTTACAGCAACTCCCCAGGGACACTTAAGTCCAGTTATAGTACGTACTGGAGTGATGTTATAAAGGTAAGGATTGATAGGGATGACTAGTGAGGTATCCTCAAGGTGTACATCATATACTTGTACTTTTACTGTATGAATACCACTGGTTGAAGGCTTACACTGTATCCTATACACTCCAGGATCAGTGCTGGTGGTAGTGATTGTAGTGTGAATGGGTTGATCACCTTTACCAATTGGTACTAGACTACACCTCAGAGAAGAGACGGGAACACACAAAACAGATGAATCTGGTGCCTCCATTGATAGTGAAAACGAAACTGCTTCACCAGCAGGTGTATTATGATCACTCTTTATTCTATATTGTGGTGGTATGATAATGTCTCCAATGTGATGTAGCGATTTGATATCTTTACTCAATACAAAGTCGGCCTTTTCCTTTGGATGTAACTCTTCCACATTGATCCCTGCAGTAACTTCACTCATACGCTCCATCATCTGTTTCTTACACCTCAGGACTTGTTGAGGACTGCCTGTCTTCAGACTCTGTTTCACATAATCCTCAACATCCTCCAGAACACTCAAACTCATTTCTGCTGATTTCATTTGCTCTGACAGCACCTTTAGTTTAGCATCAGTGACCCTCTTTGCCTGCTCAGTCAGTTTCCTCTCTGACTCACGAAGAACATTTATCATTTCCTCTACCATTTCATGTATTTCTTCTAAGACTCCTTCTCCTCTCTCTCTGATCTCACCCTCTCTCTCTGCTAGAGCAGACAGGACTTTCTTGAGTCCTTCAATTTTCCCTTTTACAGGATTAAGAGATTTCTCCAATGCTTCTTTGTGTCTAGTAAAACAATCAACTATTAGGTTATACTTGTGATCTTTATGAGCCAGCATGATACAATCACGACAGATAGATTCATCACATGTGTCACAGTAATACTTCAATGGCTCATCATGACTTGGTATGGGACAAATGAAAGGTGCCTCCTGTTTAGCTGGAGCTAGCAATTGAGAAGTAGAAGAGACATCAGAGGCTGTCACCTCATCAAGACTTGTTAGCTGATGGTTAGAGGTTGGGCCCCATTTCTTGTGTACTCCATCACATTCTGTACAAAGGAACTTACTGCAGTCTTTGCAGTATCCAGTGGCATTAGCTGTAGTACAGTTGTCACAGGTGACCTGTTGAGGATCAGCTACTTTCTTCATTAGACTGTATATCTCTTTGAGGTTGTTGAGAGTGAATGCTACAGGAAAGGCTCCTGCTCCTTCTTCTGGTAACTCTGTACAATGACGACAAGTGGGACAAGAGAGGTAATAGGTCTCATTCTTCTTATCCAGAGGTAATCCTTCCAGGCAGTGCTCACAGAATGAATGTAGACAAGGTAAAGTCTTAGGGTTGGCATAGTGGTCAAGACACACAGGACAGGTGAGCTGTTCCTCCAGTTTGAGGAGACCAGGAGAAGATGAAGATGGTTTGGTTGCCATTTCAAGAAAAGAATAAAATTGTGTACGTAAAGCAAGAACGAAAAATGAAGAGAGATAAAGGTAGAAGACGGTAAATGAAAATAGAGCAAGAACAAACGATAAGAAAATAAAGAAGTTGGAATGAACGAGAATGAGAGTAGCCTGGGGAAAGATAGCCCTGATGACCTCTTGGAATATTCTATAGTCTTGTCACTACAAGCAGTTATAATAGCTTAATAGTGATAAAATTCCTTTCCCATAGTATGCACCAGGTCCAGAAAAAGATGAAGTTTGGCCCATCATTACATGATTTACATGTACATGTACTAGTAATGACAATGCTTAACAAGTACCGTACTTAATTTAGTACAACTGCATGTACATTTTGAATGTAGAGTGGCATTTTTGTGCATTATGTTAATGAAATGACAATGAAAAACTGATAATATGTCATGACATACATTAGGTTACATAATGCCACATGTCTTATGTGATGGTTTATCTTTAGCATCAGATGTGAACCTACAGACCACACTCATATCAATATTGGACCATAACTTGAACTAGGACCACCACTGCTCCACTGCCACAGCTAATGGAGAGAGAGAGGAAGAGTGATAGTAGATACATTACATGTACAGTGTAGCCTCTATATAATGAACACTTTGGGGCAAGGCAGTGTCTCTGTTATACAGAGGTATCCTTTATGTAGAGGTTATTTTATACAGTAAGGAATGTAATTGGTACACTAGGTGCTGTCCGTTAAATGGAGGTGTACGCTATAGAGAGTGTCCATTAAGAGAGACTATACAGTACATGTATTATGTAATAACGCATAATACTATGACTATGGTCAACACTACTATCATGATAGTGTTAACCATATTCATTGACTAACAATTAAAATAAAAAATAGTAAAATTATTCCAGCAATAAACGCACACGTAAAAGCATAGTACAAATGTAACTATTTCAAATAATTAAACCATCAAAACAGATGCTATTTAAAATATACTTCAGCTGCCCTATCATGAGATATAAAAGGACACTATTCTCTCCCACTATTGCTCGGATGAGCTTCACTGGTGTGGTGTGCAGGCTTCAGACCTGTAGGTGATTAGCGTCACAGTGGTTCGATTCCACCTTCCAAGCGGGTTTTATCCAGAAACTTTTTTTTCGCACACCACAAGCACAAGCATAACTTAATTTTTTTAAAAAGGTGGACACAACCAAGAGCAGTGTTTTAAAGTAACAAATAAATAAGTTTTATTTATTCTTAAATTCTATTACCTGATGTACATAATACCATGCAGCATTTCCTTACTGTACTAGCAGCCATGACTCCTACCAGTGTCTTACCAGCATCTGATGAGAGAAGAAGACAGTGAGAAAGAAAAAAAGAGGGAGAGATACATGTATGTACATATACATGTTTATACAGATATAACCAGAGGAAGGAAGATGTACTAATGTCTCTTCACTTACCACAAGGTAGTACTATTACTCCTGATCTTGCTCTTCCATTACCAAACATCTTCCTTAAACTTTTCCCCTATAAATAAAAATAAATAATTTAAATAACAAACATAATGTACAATTGTATGTAATTATTATAAATTTATTTAAATTAAAATAATTTAAATATAATAATAATAAATGTATTATATAGACAACAAATACTTGATATGGTCTTAGAATAGTAGTGGGTTTAAGATCAATACTAAAAATAAATAAAAAATAAATAAATAAATAATTGCAATATAAAAATGAATTTCAAAATGTACTACATGTACACGTACATGTGTTTACTTGATGTCAGGATTGACTGTGTCATTATGAAAATCATATTTCGCCAAAAGTGGATACTCTAATTCTATACACCTACATGTACATGTACATGTAATTAACGTCACATGATAGTCACATGACATGATATAATACAATACAGTACATTAGCCAATGACATTAGTTCAGTGTCTCAGTCTAAATAAAGGATGCTGTGGTCTAGCTCTTGCTGAATATTCCATGTACATCATGTCGTTGCCGCCTGACATTGTCGCCATTGACCCCGCCTTCCTCTCAAAGCCATGCCCTTTGCCCTGTCCCCCTCCGGACGTGGGTAAGACCTCTTCATCAGCATCACTATCAGAAGCAGCTAAAACCTGAAGAGAGAGAGAGAGAGAGAGAGTGGGAGAGAATATACATGTAGATAATGCAAATTGAGAATTCATCACTCCTATCTACAGCATACTGCACTTCGAAACTAATTTAATAGCCTAGAATCAGTATGCATCAGAAAATCTAATAAAAATTTGGGATGATTTCGGAGTCATTTTTTCAAAAATTGGCTTATTTTTAACTCAAAAAATTTAAGTTAAAAGCAGTTCAATCAAGTTATTTTTAGATAAGAAATACCAAATCCCACTGTGAATCAGTAAAAAATTGAGTGATAGCTTAACAGTTAGATGTTTATTATTCCTTTGCATTTAATATTGCTAGCTAATAGATGTACAGTTATGGTGTCTTTGTTAATTATTGTGATTCTTTACTGAATATTAAAACTGAATGTACCTGAATATTACCAAAGGGTTAACTATACACACCTGTATCACATATTAGTAAACAATGAACAGGTAAAACACCTGGTGAGTAGCATATCAACATATCGGTTGACAAAAACAATACAACAGGATATAAAACTATCAAGTTGACATTGTAACTACCAATTAATGAAGGATAATGATGATAGTAGATCTATATCACAAACATTATCATCATCATCCTTCATTAATTCATCTTTCATTATATGTTGGAGGGGCTTTGCACTTAAAAACCAATTTTTAATAGCCTGTCACTCAAAAACTTTTCACTATTTAATTTATAGTATTAGAAAATGTAATAAAATTGGGAGCCATTTTTGGAAAAACCATGCGCTATAGTTCACACGGTACTTTTCAGGATTTTGGCATTTTCTAAAAATGGTCATAACTTAGAAAATTGATGCTGGAATCAGCTCAGACTTCTACACAGCATAAGTACATCAATATGTATCAGAAAACGTAATAAAAATTTTGGAGAATTTTTTTGGAATTCTCTCCCTCTCACCTCTGACATTGGACTCTAGAAGGTTCTGTAACTCCATCCAATTGGCCTCATACAGTTTAGGGCTGATCAGAAAATTAAGGTCTTGTATTTTATCGTCTTCTCTCACAGTCTCACCAGAGTAGCTGTTAGTCCTAAGTTCTCCTCTTGGTTCTCCTAACTCACAGTGAGTGAGCCTGTACACACATTTATATAGTGAACCTGAACTACACAGGCAAGAGTTAGCATGTATGATACAAGACACTGCCCAGAATCAATGAATCGAGCCTGATTACAGTATTGATACAGCCTGACAGGTATCATTGCTGAATCATACATGTTGCTCTGGCTGAACCAGTATGAATTCCAGCATGATTGTATCAAGGCTGATAGATCCAGCTAGGCTCATTGCCATATTAGCTGCCCAACATCCATGATTCAGGATGCATTAGGCCGGATCAGGACTGACATCATTCATAAATCAATCACAAACTCTTTGCTGTGTAGTCTCGCAGGGCCAGATTCAATTTTCTAAACCTGAACTTCTACATAATAAAACTGAATAATAATATAATCATTTATTGCCATCTAATATCATCAGTCCCCATTCCGAGCTCTATTCTGTAAGAAGTCCATTACCTAATTACAAAATAATGACATCATGTGCCTATGTTGTGACGTGTCAGTACTTGTTGTGAGTCCCATGCTCTCTTCTGAGTGTATGACACCATTGAATAAGTACTGATAGCAATACTACACATGGTGTTAGCTGGTGAGAGAGGTAGGGGAGAAAGTGAAACAATTAAATTAAAAAGATGATATTCAATGAGAAATAGAGAAAGGATATAAATCAATTATAGTACAAACTGAAAGTTTGTACTATAATTGATTTATATCCTTTAACAATTAATCTTTTGGTTTTATTCCCACCCTTCTCCTTTTATGGTACATGTTTCAATACTAAATTTCATTTTAATAGTAAATGTTAATGCATGTCTCACTCTCAACATTAAAACTAAAAATTTAATAAACAACAAGTCGGCCATTATTAAAATCACAAACATACAAGAATCCATCTTTATCTAATGCTGATCCGCAAGGATCATTAAACTGATCAATATTACTGCCTTTACTTCCAAACTTTCTAACAAACACACCATCACTAGTGAAGACTGATATACGATTATTACCCCATTCACTAACATACACTAGACCAGTAGCTGCAGTGTCTATTGTTATACCAATTGGACTATCAAGCTGTCCAGGACCAGATGTACCAAACTGACCCACAAACTTTCCATCTAGAGAGAACTTCTGAATGCAATGATTACCCCAATCCGCAACATACACTAATCCTTGACTGTCAATAGCAATGCCTAGCGGAAACTGAAACCGTCCATTAGCTGATCCATGACTACCAAATGAATGATAGAAGGTCAGATCAGGATTCAAGACTTGTATATGATGATTATTCATATCAGCAATATAAACCTTCCCTGTTACAGGAGAAATGGCTACACCAAAAGGACCATTAAATTGTAACGGTCTATTGCCAAATTTACCAACTGATGCTATAAGGTATCCATCCATGCTTATCTTCTGGATCCTATGATCATCAGATACAAGAATGAATTTGTCTGGAGTAATGGTTACACCACGAGGAGAAGAAAATTTGACATTACCACTTCCTCCTTCCCCTCCTAATGATTTCACTCTCTTTCCTTCTCTATCCAGTATTGTTACACAGTGACCATTCAACTCAGTTATTATAACATGATTATCATTACTTACAGCAACTCCACAGGGATGGTTAAGCTCAGTTATAGTACGTACTGGAGTGATGTTATCAAGGTAAGGATTGAAAGGGATGACTAGTGAGGTATCCTCAAGGTGTACATCATATACTTGTACTTTTACTGTATGAGTACCACTGGTTGAAGGGTTACACTGTATCCTATACACTCCAGGATTAGTGCTGGTAGTAGTGACTGTAGTGTGAATGGGTTCATCACTTTTACCAACTGGTACTAGACTACACCTCAGAGAAGAGAAGAGAACACACAAAAGAGATGAACCTGGTACCTCCATTGATAGTGAAAATGAAACTGCTGTTCCAGCAGGTGTAATACGATCAATCTTCTTCACTCTACACTGCTGTAGTGCAGTAGATGAGTAGGTCACAATATCTCCAATGTGATGTAGCGATTTGATATCTTTACTCAATACAAAGTTGGCCTTTTCCTTTGGATGTAACTCCTCCACATTGATCCCTGCAGTAACTGCACTCATACGCTCCATCATCTGTTTCTTAAACCTCAGGACTTGTTGAGGACTGCCTGTCTTCAGACTCTGTTCCACATAATCCTCAACATCCTCCAGAACACTCAAACTCTTTTCTGCTGATTTCATTTGCTCTGACAGCACCTTTAGTTTATCATCAGTGACCCTCTTTGCCTGCTCAGTCAGTTTCTTCTCTGACTCACGAAGAACATTCATCATTTCCTCTACCATTTCATGTATTTCTTCTAAGACTCCTTCTCCTCTTTCTCTGATCTCACCCTCTCTCTCTGCTAGAGCAGACAGGACCTTCTTGAGTCCTTCAATTTTCCCTTTTACCGGATTAAGAGATTTCTTCAGTGCTTCTTTGTGTTTAGTAAAACTATCAGCTATTAGGTTATACTTGTGATCTTTATGAGCCAGCATGATACAATCACGACAGATAGATTCATCACATGTGTCACAGTAATACTTTAATGGCTCATCATGACTTGGTATGGGACAAATGAGAGGTGCCTCCTGTTTAGCTGGAGCTAGCAATTGAGAAGTAGAAAAGACATCAGAGGCTGTCACCTCATCAAGACTTGTCAGCTGATGGTTAGCAAAAAGAGCCCATTTCTTGTGCATAGAGATACATTCTGTACAAAGGAATTGACTGCAGTTTGTGCAGTATCCAGTGGCATTAGCTGTAGTACAGTTGTCACAGGTGACTACCTGTTCAGGATCAACTACTTTCTTCATTAGACTGTATATCTCTTTGAGGTTGTTGAGAGTGAATGCTACAGGAAATGCTCCTGCTCCTTCTTCTGGTAACTCTGTACAATGACGGCAAGTGGGACAAGAGAGGTAATAGGTCTCATTCTTCTTATCCAGAGGTAATCCCTCCAGACAGTGCTTACAGAATGAATGTAGACAAGGTAAAGTCTTAGGGTTGGTATAGTGGTCAAGACACACAGGACAGGTGAGCTGTTCCTCCAGTTTGAGGAGACCAGGAGAAGAAGATGAAGATGGTTTGGATGCCATTTCAAGAAAAGAATAAAATTGTGTAAGTAAAGCAAGAACAAAAAATGAAGAGAGATAAAGGTAGAAGACGGTAGATGAAGATAGAGCAAGAATGAATGATAAGGAAATGAAGAAGTTGGAATGAACGAGAATGAGAGTAGCCTGGGGAAAGATAGCCCTGGTGACCACTTGGAATATTCTATAGTCTTGTGACTAAAGGAAGTTATGATAGTACATAATGAAACCATAGATATTAGATGAAACCTGGCTTTACCATAGCAACCAGTGAAAAGGTGAATGGCTTTATACTACAGCATTAAACCAAACGTACAGTGTTTTAAGAAATCTAAATTTTTATGCAAGACTGAGATCTTAAGAGGTCACATGATAATATGTCACATGACATACATTAGGTTACATAATGCCACATGTCTTACGTGATGGTTTGTCTTTAGCATCAGATGTGAACCTACAGACCACACTCATATCAATATTGGACCATAACTTGAACTGGGACCACCACTGTTCTACTGCCACAACTAATGGAGAGAGAGAGGAAGAGTGATAGTAGATACATTACATGTACAGTGTAGCTGCTATATAATGAACACTTTGGGGCAAGGCAGTGTCTCTGTTATACAGAGGTATCCTTTATGTAGAGGTTATTTTATACAGTAAGGAATGTAATTGGTACACTAGGTGCTGTCTGTTAAATTGAGGTGTACGCTATAGAGAGTGTCCATTAAGAGAGACTATACAGTACATGTACTGTACATGCATTATGTAATAACACATAATACTATTACTATGGTCAACACTACTATCATGATAGTGTTAACCATATTCATTGACTCACAATTAAAATAAAAAATAGTAAAATTATTCCAGCAATAAACACACACGTAAAAGCATAGTACAAATGTAACTATTTCAAATAATTAAACCATCAAAACAGATGCTATTTAAAATATACTTCAGATGCCCTATCATGAGATATAAAAGGACACTATTCTCTCCCACTATTGCTCGGATGAGCTTCACTGGTGTGGTGTGCAGGCTTCAGACCTGTAGGTGATTAGCGTCACAGTGATTCGATTCCACCTTCCGAGCGGGTTTTATCCAGAAACTTTTTTCACACACCAAAAGCACAACCAAGAGCGGTGTTTTAAAATAACAAATAAATAAGTTTTATTTATTTTTTCAATTCTATTACCTGAGGTACATAATACCATGCAGCGTTTCCTCACAGTACAAGCAGCTGCGACTCCTACCAGTGTCTTACCAGCACCTGATGAGAGAAGAAGACAGTGAGAAAAAAAAAAGAGGGAGAGATACATGTATGTACATATACATGTTTATACAGATATAACCAGAGGAAGGAAGATGTACAAATGTCTCTTCACTTACCACAAGGTAATACTATTACTCCTGATCTTGCTCTTCCATTACCAAACATCTTCCCTCCTAACAAGAATAAATAAAAAACAATTATAATAAAATAACAATAAATGCATTATATAGACAACAAATACTTGATATGGTCTTAGAATAGTAGTGGGTTTAAGATCAATACTAAAAAAGTAAATAAATAAATAAATAAATAATTGCATTATAAAAATGAATTTCAAAATGTACTACATGTACACATACATGTGTTCACTTGATGTCAGGATTGACTGTGTCATTATGAAAATCATATTCCGCCAAAAGTGGATACTCTAATTCTATACACCTACATGTACATGTACATGTAATTAACGTCACATGATAGTCACATGACATGATATAATACAATACAGTACATTAGCCGATGACATTAGTTCAGTGTCTCAGTCTAAATAAAGGATGCTGTGGTCTAGCTCTTGCTGAATATTCCATGTACATCATGTCGTTGCCGCCTGACATTGTCGCCATTGACCCCGCCTTCCTCTCAAAGCCATGCCCTTTGCCCTGTCCCCCTCCGGACGTGGGTAAGACCTCTTCATCAGCATCACTATCAGAAGCAGCTAAAACCTGAAGAGAGAGAGAGAGAGAGTGGGAGAGAATATACATGTAGATAATGCAAATTGAGAATTCATCACTCCTATCTACAGCATAATGCATTTAGAAAATAATTTAATAGCCTAGAATCAGTATGCATCAGAAAATCTAATAAAAATTTGGGATGATTTCGGAGTCACTTTTTCAAAAATTGGCTTATTCTTAACTCAAAAAATTTAAGTCGAAAGCAGTTCAATTTATTTTTAGATAAGAAATACCAAGTCCCACTGTGAATCAGTAAACAATTGAGTGATAGCTTAACAGTTAGATGTTTATTATTCCTTTGCATTTAATATTGCTAGCTAATAGATGTACAGTTATGGTGTCTTTG